CTGGCATGAGTGTAGCTGGGTGGGCCCCCAGCTCCACACTCCCCTGACCGCGGGAGGAGCTGACTCCAGTGTGTAAGCCAGGCTATGTAACTGTCTCTTGGCCCCAGGAGACCTTGGCTATATCTTCAGAGCATGGAAATCATTGGAGCCAAGGCCTGAGATCTTTCGGCCTGGCTCTCACTAACTGGAGCACGTCTTTGGGGTTCATGATGAATGAACAGATGTGCCCAGGCAAAGAAAGAAACTTCTTGAGGAATGAATAGAAAATAAAGCAAGTGCAGGGATGCCCAATTTTCTGGTTCTTTCCTTTTTTGCGGGGGTGGGGGATTAACCCCAGTGGTGCTGTACCACTAAGCTACATTCCTAGCCCTTTTTATTTTTTGAGATAGGATCTTGATAAGTTGGCCAGTCTGGTCTCAAACTTACAATCTTCCTGCCTCAACCTCCAGAGTCACTGCTAGTTTTCTTTTAGCAGCCATTTTTTTTTTTTTCCATCAGTCTAAAGTGACAGGAAGAGCACACTGGGGTAGAGCGGATACATCATCATAGTTCAAAAGTCTGAGACACAACTGAAGTCACACGGTTGCTCCAATATTCAGGCCTGTAACACCCTCCTCCAGGAGCTGAGCATATTTGAAAATATTTTCATTAGAGGAGCTAGAGACTTCTAGATTAAAATTTGTTCACAAAAAATATCTTTGCCAGGGCCTTGTATGATCTTGAGGTAAAATGTTAAAAGTTCTCTGTAAACCTCAGATCTCTTATCACCTTCTTCCACTCCAACTTTAACAGAAAGAAAAATGATGATTGGGTTTAGACATTATTTGCACAATCAATAACAGAACGCATAATGTTTAATACATAGGATTCCGATGAGATGAACAGGGAAATCAATGACCCAAGGAATTTGCCTCTCCACCAGCCCACTGGAAATAGTTCTGCCTCATGTCTGCAGACTTATGAAAATGATCTGTATTTAAATATTAAAAAAGCAATACTTCTTTTTTAAAAAAAGTTTCCAATGCATCTTGTTAATTTCAAATGATCTACCTGTGGCCAAATAAGTAATATTTGCAGGATAAGGTAATACATGTAGAGTATCACTAACTCTTAAACAAAAATAAACTTGTTAATTATGATAATATACCCTGAAACAACTCTCCACTGCTAGTAAATAGTTTGCTTTTTACAGAAACCTGTTGAATTATAAAATCACTATTAAGCATTGTAGTCCAATAACAATAATAAAAAAACACTTCATCTTAAAGGCATTTCAAAGAAAGACTGGTTATTTTAAAGGTGGATGTAGATCATTTATTTTTTTAAATAAGCCTAAAGAAAACTTTTGACTTAAATTCAGGTTTCTAAAAGTCCCTTGCTGAAGTTATTATACATGCCAAGTTAATTGGGAGAAATGATTACTCCATTTATTTGCTCACTAAAAACCAAGGCACTTCTATTCCTCACCAGAGAAATGATGATAAGTAACTCACACTCAGGAGATACCCCTTTTAATGCCAAGTTAGAAGCTGGTGGGTGCTAATTCAAACATGTGTTGGATCTGAGAAGTTCTGGAATTGGCTGTGAAACCATCATTTTATTAAGAAATGATGTAATTTTCCTCCTCATCCACCATGAAGCAAGTTAACTTGTGGGTTAAAATGAATGAATGGGTTAAAAATTGGTGAAGAAAGAGGAAAAGACAAAGTAATGAATGGTTGCTCGTCAGAATGGAGAAGGGTAGAGATAGGAGAGAGAGCCTTGAAACACATTCATAATAATTTGAGGAAGGAAGTGAAGTGCAAGTTTGTATGTGAGGCAATATCGTTCCAGTTACTAAACATCATGAAGAAATGAGTGAAACTTCACAGGAATCTAGAACTCCACGCCAGGGCAACAAAGGGAATGAGATGTAAAAGCAGTCTTCAAATTGTACTCTTAGTTTTATTAGTCCACAAAATTTTACTTCCCAAATATTTTACATTAAGGAAACAATGACTCTACCAAAGATTTTTCCAAAATAGGTCAGTATCAGTAAAAAAAGGAAAGAAAGAGAGAAAGAAAGAAAGAAAAGATCATGTTCTGAAGGGTTTATTTACAAATGGAGGAGTTAGAAATCAGACGAAGAAGAAATAGAGTTTGGGGGTTTTAGTAAAATAATATGATAATTCCGAAACCTGCAACAGGAAGATCGCCTGGGAGAAAAAAAAATAAAAAAGTAGAGTGTCACTTCATGTAAAATTGTTTTCAGACCTTTAATAACAATTTAGTAATAGAGTAAATGTACTTGGAGTTTGGCTAATGAAAAAGAAGGGAAATTAGAAGAATGTGGTATAGCTATTGTTATTGTTCAAACAAAGGAATGAGCCTTTATGTCAAATTTTGGATTGGATATGATCAAAGTTATACATTTCTATTTTAGCCATTTAGACAGATATGATAATGAAAAATTAAATTCTCATCAGAATTTTCAAAACAGGAAAACTTCAGTTCTGCGGAGTAGAGGGAGTAAGTGAGCTATTATGATTTCACCACTCATTCAAAATTTTGAAGTAGAGTACAGAAAGAGCTAAAAAATTGAATGTAGGAGATAAAATTAGTGCACAGGTTCATATAATGCCTACTGGAAAGTGATCAAGACCACACAAAAGTTCAGATAGAGCCGCTGTGCAGGAAAGAAAGTGATAGCAGGATGCGGCAGTACCTGGCCCTGCAGGAGGAAGACCACTCTTAACAGTCAGGCTGATGGGAAACGTGACTCAGTGTGACTGAGATAAGACTGCTTCCAATCTCAACCCTGAACACTTGGCTGAGGAATGTGAATTTTATTCTTAAGTCGTTTCTACTACCGACTGTAGTATGCACTTGTTTGCAGGTTGATGAGATGAAGCCACTGGTGTCTCTTTAAGTATGAAAATGACAAGCTCCAATTTTTGCTTTAGGCAGATTATTTTAAGTGGTATACGGGAGGAAGAAGAGGGATGGGAGACCTATTGTAAGAGTTCTAATCAAGAGAATGAAGTGACATTTACTGAGATAATCCTGCTAGATGTTTCACACACCTGTTTTCAATAAATATTGAATCCTAATAACAACCCTTCAAAGAAGAGACAGTGGAGCATTTTACTGTTAAAGAAACATGATTTGAAATGTTGAGGAATTAACCCAAATGTCACATGTGCAAAAAATGTAGAATTGGGCTTCATGTCTGAATCTAAAAGGCATTCCCTAAAAAGAAACTAAAATAAAATTGTAACATATTGATTACTCTTTGAATGAGGATGGTTTTAACAAGGGCAATGACAGTGAATAGGAAAGAGGGGTGAGAGAGAAGAGATTTCAGCTATGGTAAGGATGTGGCGATTGAAAACATTATGGGGACAAGGGACAAAAAAAAAAAAAGAGTCTCTAGCTCAAATAGTAGCATATGCCTATAAAAGCTGATTTGGAAAGGGGGCTAGGAAAACAAGGGTTTTTTGTTTTTGTTTTTTGGTATTGGATTGAATTTAAGGGCAAGTAACCACTGAGTCACATTCCCAGTCCTATTTTTATGTTTTATTTAGAAATAGGGTGCTGAGTTGCTTAGAGTCTTGCTAAATTGCTGAGGCTGGCTTTGAATTTGCAATCCTCCTGCCTCAGTTTCCTGAGCCGCTGGGATTACAGGTGTGCACCACTGCCCCCTCCCCCCGCCGGAAATAAGTTTTGAAGTTTGAAATGACAACAAAACATCCGTCAAAGAGCGGCTGTGTTCACTTTCTCTGAGCGGGAATAGGGATCACCCACAGCACAGGCAGGACCGGAAGTTTTGCCCCTCAGTGCCAGACACATCCCAAACTCAAGCCACTCAGGCGGTCCAGCCTTTCGCACAAGCAGTTTCTACCCCTTGTCACATGACTGCTTCCTCCTGCTTCTGTTCACCCTTCCCACCAAGAGTCCATTCCCAGGAAGGGTCTCCCTGTCTCCCCATCTTCTTCTTATCTCCCAATGCGTCTGCCCTTTTCTGTGTCTCCTGCCCGACTGACCTGCTGCAGGGCTGCCCCTCTTCACCTTGACCTTTTGTAGTCTCTAAGGCTATCACTCTGACCCGCAAAAAATATTTGTTGACGGTGACTGATGGATTCCTGTTGTTGCCCTGGTTAAGAACTACCCTGCCCTGTTAGGTCACAGTTTCTTCCTTCTTAGGGCAGTGCAGTTAACAATCTCAAGACCAGGAAATCATCTTCCTCACCACATACCAGGGTATTATTCATGCAGTTTACTCACTGTAGAGGGTTCCCTTGAGATAAAGCTAACAATTAGTTGAAGATTTACGAATTTCCTAGGGCCAATCTCTTTATGATTCCGAAAATAAACAAGGGGTAGTAAATGCTTCAGAATTTGTCTATGGGAGGGTCTCGGGTGTTCCACTCAATTGGAAATAGGGGTCTCTGATCCTTTTTGTAAACCGGCTTTTGCAGAGCAGCGTTCTTACCAAGGGTGAGGGTTTGTGTATGCGGTGCTTGACTCAGCGGGGGCAGCCTGTGGATATTGTTGGGGGAGTCTCGGCTACACCTCCTGCCTCCTTTTGCATGAAGTGGTTTGATGCCCACCCAACTGCCATATTCTATTTTCTTTCAACCGCGAGTTACCCCGATTGGGAAGGGCCCGTATTTTCCCGAGCGTTAGGAGACGTGGAGGTCGGTTCGCAGGAGGGGTCCAATTCCCAGAGGACTTGGGGATCCACAGGAGTGCCACGGTTTTCTCCTCGCGGGGCTTTCAAGGCTGCTCAGAGCCACGACTAAGGTCCACGGACCCGCAGCGCCACAAGCCGGGAGGGACGCGTGTTCCCGCCCGCGCCGTCCGGGTCCGAGCGGGCGGGGCGAGGAGCGGGTGGACGGGTGGGGTGGGGCGGGGCCGCGCGGGGCGGGGCAACCAGGCCAAGGCCGGGGGCGGAGCCAGGCGCGCCGCTCGCCCGGGCCTAGGCCGCCGCTGGGCTCCGCCTAGCCGGGCTACGCAGGCGGCGGGGCTGCGGCACGGGCCGGGCGGCACCATGGCGGCGGCGGCGCCTGCTGCGGTGGCGGCTTCTTCCGAGGCGCCGGCGGCGACTGCGACGGCAGAGCCCGAGGCTGGAGACGAGGACAGCCGCGAGGTCCGAGTGCTGCAGAGCCTACGGGGCAAGATCTGTAAGCGGGGCCCGGGCTGAGGGGCTTCCCCGGCGGCAGCGGCCGCACGGCTGAGGGGGCAACGGGCGCGCTGGGTTGGCGTCGCCGAGCCGCGCTGGATGGTGGGCCGAGAGGGCCGGTGAGGCGCGGCGCGGTGCGCAGCCCCGGGAGGGCGGGCGCGGGCGAGGCTGGAGGGGGTGTGTTGGGGGAGGCGTCGCCTGGACGGGGCGGCGTGGGCTGCGGCCACCCCTCTGGGGAGGGAGTGGAGAGCGGGCAGCGCCGGCGGAGGCGGCCTGGGCGCGCGGGCGTGAGGGGCTCGGCGGCTGGGCGCGGCCGGGGGCGCGGGCCGGGGGCGTGAGGAGCTTCCGGCCGCCTTCCGACTCAGGCCTCCGGGCGGCCGCGGACACCGGGGCGAGGCGGGTGCGGAGCAGCAATTATGGGGAGGAGCGGCCGGAGGAGAGGCGGCGGCGTGGAAGGGGGGCTGGCCCGAGGGGAGGGGGCTGCCTGCCTCCCGAGCTCCCGAGCCCGTGAGAGCTTGAAAAAGGCGCCCTCAGCGGGAGGAAGCAGGCAGCCGGGGGACCCGGAGGGGGCCGCGCGGCGTGCTGCGAGGGAGCGCGGGAGGGGCTCGGCCGGACACCTGTACTCCGCCCCGCCTCGCTGCCGCGGGGACTTGAAGCGAGAGCCGAGAGCCGGGTGACTGACAGGGACTTGGGGCAGGATGTAGTGGCTTCCTGTGAGCAGGTCTCAAAACACAGTCATCCAATCCGCACTTAACCCACTTAATTCCTTTCCTTTTCAAGCATTTGTCACTTCTGTGAGCGAGCCATACTAGTTGACTAAATACAGTTTTGCTCCGAGGCCCTGAGCATTCCTATAAACACACCGATTCGATTTCAGTCATTTGGACATTGATGTTTTTAAAATGCCCTTTAGATTGCCATTTTCCTACAGTAGTTTATTTAGACAAAATACCTCTTTAAAAAAATCTATAGAGCTTATTTTACTTTGGTTGAAAATCAACAGTTTTCTTTATTCAGTATTCTCAGATTGTGCGAGTTATGAGGGGTCCTTTTTACCTTGTGTGAAGAAAATTGAATTGCATTAAAATTACTAACAGTGCTCTTGGGTAGGCTATAAAATTTTCTTGAGTAATGATGCTGTTAATTGATTTTGGAATCTCACTTTCTTTTCAGGCTGCTCCCTCTTTCAAGGATTTGAAGTTTTGTTTGTTTGCTTATTTATTTATTTGGTACTAGGGATGGAATCCCGGAGTGCTTTATCCCTGGGCTGCATCCCCAGCCTTTTTTTTTTTTTTTAATGTTTTACTAAGTTGCTCAGGGCCTTGCTAAATTGCTGAGGCTGGCCTCAAACTTGCAATCCTCCTGCATCAGCGTCCTGGGTTGCTGGGATTACAGGCATTCTCCATCATGCCGGCCTAAGGATTTGGGATTTTATTAAATCCCGAAGCAAACTACTAAATTCTCTCACATCGTAATTCCCTGTTATAGTCATAGAACCCTTAAGAGATTGCAGTTCTTAAAACCTAATAAAGATACTGGAGAAGTAGCTGTTTCCTGCATCTAAGTTTCCAACATTAAAGATATTTTTAAGGAATAAAGTCTTTTCAGAATTTAGGTTAAATCTTATATTTAATATATGCATATATCTAATTTAACTGGGAAACTAAATGGGCGGAGTTCCCTCCTTGATCTGGTTTTCCAGATTTTTTACCTCCTTATATTTTAGCGTTATTGATATTAGACACTGTCTGTTGGATACTTAATACTGATACTTAACTGCAGGTTGTTCATGGAACAACATATATGTGTGTCATAGAATTGAGTTGGGGTGTTTCCAGAAGGAATTAGCCTGTACTTTCACCTGCTCCGTGGTGAATACCATTGAAAACAGTTTGGTAAGAGGCATTACTGTAAGTAAAACTTGGGTCTACAAATTAAAAGGGCCTGTAAATAAAACAAACAAAAAATGTGTGTTTCTATAGTTTAGAGCGACGCTGGCATACAGACTTGGAAATTGGCCATACACTTACTGGGAGTGATACTGCTTGAACCATAGTCAAAGTATTACATCTGTCAGTCAACTTCTTGCTTTTTAAATTGCTCAGCATATAGCTCAAATCATGAAGTGACCATTTCATAGGATGTATGTGTTAATATATTGATATACAGAATTCTCACCTCACATTTCTTTTCTGTTCTTTTAACTGATGTAATCCAGAATTGGTTTAGCTTCAGAACCTTGTGAAGAGGTGCTGTTTTCTGTTTCCCTGAAATTGATGTGTAGTTTTTGTAAGGCGGGGGAGCTGAAGGGTAGAAGAGTCTTAAGGTACTAAAGTTACAGAAGTGGGATGATGGTGGTTCTGACAATGAAGATGTTAAGCAGCCTGGGGAAGAGGGTACGTATATCTTCTTCCTCTTCACTATGCTGAGAAATCTTTAAAGAAATCCTAATTTTACGTACTGACCTGGAAATGTGCTGGTAAATCCTAAACTGCTGATTAGGAGTCTCTCATCTGAAGAGTTACAGATGCATAGGGCTGAAAGTGAGCTTGAAAAGAAGTTCTCTTATTCCTGGACTTGGGTGGGTCCCTTCAACTCCAAATCATTCCAGTAGAAAGGGATGATGGATTGATTTATACATCTTTAAAGTTCTAGATATAGATAATTATGCACAAACTTCTTTAGGGACTTTATTCTTATATTTATTAGTTTCCAATATATCTCACAAGGTGAAATATTAGATTGACAGATTGAAAAACCATTTTATTGCCAGTTTCAAATTATCATTTGATGTTAACGAATCTAGTGTCTTATAGACTGGTCCCAAATTTCCTGAAGTCATTTTAGTGCCCTAGGAAACCTGACAGTTCTGAATGCTCTGCTTCCTTAAATGTATTCATAGTCAAGCCTTATTGTTGGATATCCTAGGGCTGTCTTGTGAACCCTTGGTAAATAAAACTAGGGTTATATTCCAGATGCCTTCCTGTGGTTTTGAATTTTTGTGCAGTGAGTAGTAGCAGGTATGTTAGTATATCTGAAATACATTGCATGCCCTTCTCCCCAGAAAACCCTACACTCAGGTGAAAAAAGGATTTGGGCTTTCTCTGTTTCTCTCTGTTTTTCTCTGTTTTACTGCTATTTTGAGACTTTTTTTGGTTGCCACTTTTTGTTCAGTTTGTTCTTGTCCAATTAAATCAGGTTGTAAAAATGTTACTGAAGGGGCCCACACCGTATTGTACATGAGTTTATCTACTGAAGGGACACCATTTTCCTGAAAGCCAAATGTTAAGACCTGTGTGAATTTTTAGATGTGTGACCATTATATGTCCCAGAACTTATTTGATATCCCTCATGTTTTCAGGCCAAGAATGATTTAGGATTGTTTGACAAAGTAGGGAGAAACTGTGGGGTATGGTAAGTATTCTAACTTAAAGGCCTAGTGAAGTTAGTCACCTGGGTTTGAATCTCCACTTTATTTCCAACTTTTGTTAGCCTCTTTGTACCTTCATATTCTCATGTATAAAATAGGAATAGTAAAAATATCTCTCTCATAGGACTGCTAGGGAGGGATTAAATAAGCTTGTCCCACTCCCTGCATCCCCACCTACCAGGAGCTGGGTCAACTGTGGAGCATCTCTTAGAAAGGAGGAGAATAAAGAGATTAAGAACTCATCTTTATTTGATGTTCTTGTCTAACATGTACTGGTATTTCCTGGTGTACAGAATTGATTAAAACAGTCCTGTTTTCTGCTTTATGCATTGTTAATATTCATGTGATTTTAGACAACTCATTTACTTTTGAGCTTGTCTTCCTCATCTTTAAAATGGGAATAATGCTTCATCACCAACCATTTTGTATATATTGTTTCCTTTGCATGATTGTCTTTCCCTTTACCTTATTTTTTTAAATACTTATTTTTTTAATTGTAGTTGGATACAGTATCTTTAATTAATTTATTTATTTTTAAATTAGTTTTTTATTTATTTATTTTTTAGTTGTACACAATACCTTTATTTTGTTTATTTATTTTTATGTGGTGCTGCTAATCGAACCCAGGGCCTCGCCCCTGCTAGGCGAGTGCTCTACCACTGAGCTACAACCCCAGCCCTCCCTTTACTTTATAAGTTCTGTGTAAGAACTCTTACACATCCTTTAAAAGCCTGCTCTGTCATCTTTTCCTTAAAATTCTTTGAGGTACACCCATTCCCCATCTCTGGCCAGAGGGTGTTAGATGTTTCTGCTGCTGGGAGTCACAATTCCTTGTCTTATTATAGCACATTTCATATAAATCATTTGCATATTTCCCCTGTTATACTCTTAGCTCTTCCGAGGTAGAATTCATTCTCGTTCATTCATTCTCTCCCCAACCCCCATTTCTCTCTTTCTATCCTTCCTGTCTAACTAGAACAGAATAGGCCTTTAGTAAATGCCTTACCTCACAATGTTACCGTGAGGATAGTTTGCAGTACTGGATATGAAAATGTTTTGTATATTATATAGTTGAATAAACTAGAAGCTGTTTGTATTATTAAAAGAAAACTATGAATCTGTTAGGAGATTCATCTCTTTCAAAATCATGGTGCCTCCCTATGCATAGATTTGAATTGATGCCAAAGTTTCTTCATTAGGAAAAGGATTAAATTTTTCTAATTGTTCTGATGCCTTATTATTAGGGTACTTGAATGTTATTACCTGTTCATGAATATTATTACTAATTGGTCCTGGGGTCTGGAAGGAAACGTTTAGAATCATTCTTTACCCATTAGGTATTTTTATTTGGCCTGGCAGTTTTGAATTTTTTTGGTAATAAAGTACAAGTCAAAACATTTAATTGACTACCCAATAGTGTTGAGAAGAAGAGATTAAATGGGGTTTATTCATGCTCAGAATTCATATTATCAGATATTTGAAATGAGCAGATGAGTTATATAAGATGGAAGAAGAATCCATCTTTGACATGGACAGAAACAGAAAAGGGTTCTTTGTAAAGTTCATAGAAC